GTGCCTTCCAGTAGATAGAGCTAGGAAATGATTGATAGATAGATAGACAGATAGATAGATAGGCAGGCAGATCTCTATCTCTGTGTATTTATCTATCTCTATATATTGAAAACCTACATTCACACCAGTTCCACTCAGTGTTTTATCTTGTTTTCTCCCTTTTCATGTTTGTATTTCCCTTTTCCAACAGTGAGTAAGCTATTCCCCATACTCTGCTATCACTACCAAATGGATTCAGCTCACCCTTTTCTGGCTCTTGGTATACCTCTTCCTTCATGGGCCTGACAACCCCACACTAGGCCACACTTATGTGTGGATGCCCTCCTTGCACCACTTGGGTTCTAGTACAGCCCCACCTTGGTGTGAACTCTCTTCATACACCTCAGGCTGTGGCATCCTACCCTGTGCTATCCCTGCTACCCTTCTTTCCTCTTCTCCCCAACTCTGATCACCGACCTTTGTCCCACCTAATGACTTGAGGAATGAATTTTTCAGAAAGGAAGGGAAAGAAGAATTCTTTTACCAGTATGGATATGTTCCATGTTCTAGTTCCACATATAATTATGAGCAGCATGTCACTGGTTCTGTAAGTTTGTCTCTTAACTTCAGTACTATATTAGTTTGCTAGAGCTGCCATAACAGAGCACTACAAACTGAGTAGTTTAAATATTTTCTTATTGTCTCACAGTTCTAGAGGCCAGAAATTTGAAATCAAGGTGTTGGCAGGGCCATGCTCCCTCTGAAGTTGCTAGGGAAGGATCTCTCCCAGCCCTCTCTCCTAGGTTCTTTTTTTTTTTTTTTTAAGATTTTATTTATTTACTTAAATATTTACTTTTAAGATTTTATTTATTTACTTGAGAGAAATAGCATGCTTGAACACGAGCTGGGGGTGGGGGGGCGCTGAGGGAGAAGGAGAAGCAGACTCCTTGCCGAGCAGGGAGCCAGATGCGGAGCTCGATCCCAGGACCCTAGGATCAGACGCTTAAGGCAGATGCTTAAACAACTGAGCCACCCAGGTGTCCCTCAAAGAATAATTTCAATCTAAATTCTTTATACATAGATAAGGATATCCTGTTTTATTTTGTAGCAAATGACTATATATGATTATTTTTCTATACTAGAAGGAAAAGCACCAAATGTATTGCCTATTGCGTTAATCCAAACAAGATATGTGTTGTATCTCATAAAATGTCTTTTCTTTTTTTAAGATCCCCTTGGAAAGGACTTCCTGAACTGACCAATGAGAATGGCCAGTACTGTCCTTTCAGCTGTGAAACACAAGCCTGGTCAATCGCTACTATTCTTGAAACACTCTATGACTTATAGTTGATTCATGGATATGTATTAAGTATGCAGTCACTTGTATTATGGAATGCAAGGTCAAAATATAATGTAAATGTTTTATATGCACAGGCTTGAGTCATTTTAAAAATCTTATTCATAAGATATTGATGCCCAGTTAGGTAAGACTTTAAAAGCATTGATCTTTCGTTTTGTTTTTTTAATGTACACAGGTAGCTTTTGATTTGAATCAGAAAGAAAAGCTATCATAACCAATAGGATGTTTTTCTTTTGAATTCAGGAAGTATTCTTGAAATGCCTAGAAATAAAGAGTCTGATCCAGAGTTTGAAAAAGAAAAATCATGTAATCTACTGTACATAAGTGAAAACGAAATATGAGAATGTAATAATGAAAGAAATGGAAAAGTATTTTTAAATTGTGGTATTATATTTTCTTTAGTAATAATACATACTGAATATGCTATAGTTAACTAATGTTCTCACCTTTTACTGTGTTATTCCTAGCACCTTCCAAACTGCATTCGATAAATATTAACTAAATATTGAATCATGGAAGTATCTATCTAGTTCACTGTGTGCTTTTATTTTACTAATATATTAATATGTTTTTAATATAATGAATGCCATAATTTGCTTATGTTAATGATGCATACATAGGATGTATGAAAAAAACACAAGCATTTAAGAATTTATTTCCCACAAACAGTTTTGTAGAATTAATCTTGAGTTCCTGCTTCCTACTGTGAGATGGTTTACATTCTCAAAATGCACATTGTTGGTCATACTTATGAGAACTTTGAAGAAAAACATGCTAAATTAATTTTTCTAAAACGTAATTATTTTTAGTTTGTGTGTAAAAGATATTGATGGGTCATAGTAGATGCTAGTTTCCTATTAACTAAAACCTACATTGACAAGCTTAGCATTGAGAACAACCTTAATGTAATAAAAATATATGAATTTAGTAGTTATCTTGAATTCAGTAGAATCATTTAAAAAGTTTTTCATGACCTTAACTCTGAAAAGTCATAAAAGGAAAAAGGTTTTTAACATTTATATGAGTTAATATTTTTGAATAATACTTATTCTCTAGATGGATTTTTTTTTATCATTTTACTGTTTTTGTCTCAAGAAAAAAATAAGATCATTATACTTTTAGTTGAAAGAAAATAGTTGCAAAAATCCTTTCATTACTATTTAATATTTTTCAGTGGTGTATTTATAGTTAATAAAATAATAGTACAGTAACACTTTTCTCACTTAAAGGTCACATACCCAACCATCTGAAGTATGACTAAGAAATAAAAATAAAAGAAGTAAACTAAAACTTCTAGGTAGCAAAAACATATGAATACTTAAAGATGTCAAATTCCCACATTCAATAGCTCTTGCAACTTATTGTGTCCTGCACACCCTTCTTCAAAGCTGACCCTACTTTAGAAATAGTTTTAACTTGCTTACTTTTTTGGTTTCCCAACCTAAAGCAGATTAAATCCTACAAATTTTAGGACAGTTATGATAGTCATCTGATCACTATCTATAAACTCATTGGTTTCCAAATGTCCCTTCCTTCTTCATTGCTCAATGTATAAATTTCTCTAAACTTTGCAGTTACAAGGAATGACCTTCCTTGAGAGAGTGAACCATTAGTCATCAAAGGTTTTTGCAGTTATGTTGCTGTACCTTAACTTCTTATATTAAAGGTGGTAAGAAAAATAACTGAAAACCAGTGTATTTAATGAAATCAAGTAATAGCCGATAGTTAAATGGGATGGATGGACGAATGGATAGATAGATAGATGATAGATAGATAGATAGATAGATAGATAGATAGATAGATAGATAGATAGATAGATAGATAAAAAGTTGATAATTTCTAAAACATAGCCATATTGGGATGTAGGGCAATTACCCACCTCAGCAATTTTTAATGATATCATGTTGTACTAGAAAATTAATTGGTTGATCTTCCAATAAGGAATATTAGGGAAAGAACATTGTGATTATCTGCATGGTCTATTTTAAAGTTTAAGAAGGCATGTTAGACATTATTTCATCAAAGGTAGTTAAAATAACAGTTTTAGACTTTAGAGGGATATATGTCGTTTGAAGAACCTTTAAATAAAATGCTTCATTCCTGAGTGATGATGGATGAGGTACCATTATATTAAATTTTGATGATGGCTCTGTGCCTTGGTTCTTCACTAATCCAGATCAATCTTACTCTTTAACAAGAGAAGTAAGTTTGCCAGTATAACCAGTATGCTGTGATAATTTAATAAGTTTCAAAGATAGTTGAAGAAACATGAGACTTGTCATCATATCTGTGGACATTATAACCTAGTGAATTGTAATCCATTTCCAATATGTTTTCAACTGCTATATCTAGTTTTAAAAATGTCATTTTTATGTCTGTGTGCCAAGAAAATAAAAATCTTTTCTAAAGGACCATATTTTATTTCATTCCATTATTTACCAATTAACTAATCTGTTGACTACTACCATTTATTCAGGGCTTGCTTATTTTAGGTACTTATTTTTTTGCAGGATGTGGGAGGGCAAAAAGAAGAGGAAGATTTTTAAGCTGTTTGGTAATTTATTTAATAGTCATATTGAAATTAGGAGCAAAATAAACTTTTGATATAAAATTAGATCTGTTAGCAAGTATACACTCCCCTAGTATTTTTTTTTTTTTGCTGTTATGACTTTTTTTTTAACTTTTATTTATTTTTTTTTTTTTTCATTTTTTTATTGTTATGTTTGTCACCATACATTACATCATTAGTTTTTGATGTAGTGTTCCATGATTCATTGTGTGTAATACCCAGTGCTCCATGCAGAACATGCCCTCTTTAATACCCATCACCAGGCTAACCCATCCTCCCATCCCTCTTTTTTTTTTTTTTTAAGATTTTATTTTTTGACAGAGAGAGAGTGAGAGAGGGAACACAAGCAGGGGGAGTGGGAGAGAAAGAAGCAGGCTTCCCACAGAGCAGGGAGCCCGATGCGGGGCTCAATTCCAGGACCCTGAGATCATGACCTGAGCTGGATGCTTAACTGAATGAGCAACCCAGGCGCCCAAGCCACCCAGCACCCCAAGCCACTCAGCACCCCTCCCCGCCGGTATTTCTTGAAACCTTTTACTCTTCCATGAATTTTTTATTTACCTTTCATCAACTTACTAAAGGCAAATACTATAGGCCAGAACAGATATAATATAGATGTGTGCCTCCCAAAAGTGGCCATAAAGATTGTTTCACATGTCTTTTTTTTTTTTTTTTTTAAGAGGATTTATGTATTTGAGAGTGAGCAAGCACGGGGAAGGGCAAAGGGAGAGGGAGAGAGAATTCAAGTAGACTCCCTGCTGAGCATGGGGCCCAAAGCAGGGCTCCATCCCAGGACTCTGAGATCATGACCTGAGCTGTATGCTTAACTGAATGAGCCACCCAGGCGCCCCATTCTACTTTTGTTTTGTTTTTAATTATAATATAGAATAAAATAACATCAAATGACCAAAGTTGATCCATTTAGTCTTTGCCTTTAATTACTGTTGGTTCATTTTTACTGCAGATAATTATCTCTATCTTCAGATAAAAAGTAATTACCTAGAAATCCAAACTTCTATCAATTTTTATGAGTGAATTTGTCAAACTTGACAAACTTATTTATATAGATCCTCAATATGCTAAAATAATAAACTCAGGCAAGTTGTTCAGTTTGTTTGTTTTTTCCATTTGTACAGGCCTTGAATTATTAATACTGATACTGTATCATTTTGGCTACAAATTTTTTCCCTAATATTTGCCTTGTTATTTTGGTTAGAGGCTTTTTTGTTTAACTTACAAAAGCTTTTAATTTTTCTTCAATCAAATCTCCTCATGTTTATCTTTGTGAACTCTTCTATCTCTCCAAAATTTAATCAACCTCATTCAATAATTTAATAAACTTTTTCTTCTGATTTAATATTTGTGTTTTATAGCAATATCCAGCAATGAGGTGAAACATTTAGGTTTTTTCTCAACTGTAACATTCCAAACTCATGAACTGAATATGACGTACAGTGATTCCATTTTTCAATTATTTAATTTCTGGGATATCCTATTGAAGTTATTCATGCCAATTTACTCATTTAACTATTATAATATTTTGTTTTAATATTTTTAGAGCTATTTCTTACCAATCTCCTACTCTCCTTCTTTGGAATCCTGTTTTATATACCCCTCTTTGTTCTTCTTAAGTACTTTTACATATCCAAAAAGTATTCCCTTACTGTTTTTACTACGTATACTCACACTGTAAGTTAATGTGATAAGAACTGACATTAACTGTATTTACTCTCATCTAGGAACATAGGCTGTCTCCATTTATTCAAAACAATTTTTAGCTTGCTGAAGTTCTTCCTAATTCTTATGTTTTTGGTTGCTATTCTGTATGTAATCCATTCTGGTTCAACTTAATAGCCAATTAGTTGGAATAAAAAATTCAGACTTAATAAACATTTATGAGCCCCTACCATGTAATAGTCAATTTTATACTAAATGTATTATACCCATTTTATAAATAAGAACATTGCTGAAGTGTCTTGCCCTAAGTCACACAACACATAAATTACAGAACCAAGATTCAACCCCGTCTTTTTACTACAACTCGTCTCTCAAAGATCCTCAAAATTGCAGTTTTCTGTCCTTGTCCTCACATTTCTTGCCATCATCCATCCATAAGTCAAGCATGGCTATTATCAGTTGCCATCTGATTACAGAAAGCATTAGATCTTGTTCTTCTTGGGTCTAAGCATATAACCTGGTCAAAATGCTGTGTCTGCAGCCATCTGCCTTAATAAGGTAACTAGTTCTTGGCTAAATATTCAGACCCCAAGTGCCAAGCATGGGTTAGGTTACACAATTTGAATACATTTGCAAATATAAGTGTCCTATCAAGTTGAGGCAGAAAAAAGAGAATAAGGATAAGAATGGTTAAGAGAGGAGCACCTGGGTTGGTTGGTTAAGTATCTGCCTTCACCTCAGGTCATGATCCTCCGGAGGTTCTGGGATAGAGTCCCTATTGAGCTCCCTGCTCCTCAGGGAGCCTGCTTCTCCCTCTCCCTCTGCCCCCTCCTCCTGCTTGTGCTCTCGCTCGCTCACACTCTCTCTCTCTCATGAATAAATAACAAAATCTTAAAAAAAAAAATGTTAAAAGATGGCCAGCTATCAAAATTCCTACATGAGAATTTGGTAAGAAGTTAAGATTCAAAAACAAACGAACAAAAAGAACATTCACCCCCAGGCAGGAGAGTACCAAAGGAAGCAATTTATATCTATGGAAGTTCACTAACATATGGCACTTCATTCTGCGAATGTTTACTGTTAACATTTATTATAACCGACATATTTTGTAAGTGCAAAACTAAGCACTAAGTCTTCTTAGACACCTTATAATCATAACACACACACACACAAAAAAAACGATTTATCTTAACTACCACATCACATTTGATAGATCACAAAGTCTCACTTTTACCTGACTAGCTTCTCACCTATTCCCCCCTCTTTCTGTTTGCACTCATCTTGTCCTTAGACTAATAAAATGATTTCTTAGTTGGTCACAACTTACTTCATCCCTCATAGAACTATGAGGAAAACCTCTATTCAACACTGATTCTATCCCATCACTGCTCAGAGGACACTTGGGATCCTCTATAATTTGGCCCCTTCTCTCTCCAGTCTTGGTACGATGCCACTGCTTTTTCCAAAGCTGATTCCTTGCCTCTCTGAGCCTGTTTCTTCAACTGTAAAAACAAGAATGATGGTAATACCTACACTGCAGGGCAGTAAACGTTCATGACGGTAACCCATAGTATATCAGGATTAAGTTTGATGGCATGTAACAGAACCCAAATAACAGTGGTCTAAGTGAGATTGAGGTGCAGAGGTGTGCAATCCAAGGCTGATACACTGGTTCCATGGTCATCAGGAACCAAGGTAGCAACTAATGGACAAAGAATATTCTTATCACTTCCCAGGTATAATTTTTTTAATGTGAGCTCATTGTCTCCTAGATGTGAGCAGAGGTGTACAATATCTGTTCACTTATATTTGGGGTTTTTTTTTTTTTTTAAGATTTTATTTATTTATTTGTCAGCGAGAGAGCACAAGCAGGGGGAGCGGCAGGCAGAGGGAGAAGCAGGCTCCCCACTGAGCAGAGATAATGACCTGAGCTGAAGGCAAACACCAAACCGACTGAGCTACCCCGGTACCTCCGCCTTTTTTATTTATTTATTTTGTTGTTGTTGTTAGATTCTTAAACTTAGTTTAACTTTAAAAAGAGGGACTTCGAGAGCCATTCTGCAAGCTCACCGAAGAGCCAGGAATATTGGACACGATGCAGGGCTGCGCCCGTCACTGCCGCCGACTGCTGAGGGCGGCTCCGGGGGCTGCGCAAGTTCGGGCAAGCGCCACCAGAGGGCAGTGTGTGCTCAGCTCCCGGCCCGACTCACCGGACAGCACGGGAAGCCTCAGCAGTTCTCTCCAGCACCCCTTTTACCCTAACTCGGACCCTTGCCCGCCGAAATCAGGGTATATATATCCTTTCTTTAAAGTTCATAATAATCTAACTTTATAGTAAGTTTAATATAAATTATAAGATATGGACTTTTTTTCTCTCATAAATGAAACTTCGCTTTCCTTTTGGGATCAATAGTGAGCGTAATTATTTCTGCTCTGCCCTGTCACTCTTTACATCAGCCTTTCCAAATAGTCCCAATCACACTTCCCTGGAAAGGAGGTAACTGATTCTAAAGGAAATGCGGTGACTTTTTAACAAATCACTCAGTAAGAGACAGTGCCAATTATGAAAGCTCTGAAATTACAAATTCTTCACATTTACGTTCATAATGTCATGGTAATTTCTCCAATTGTGTCATCTCTTTATCAGTAAGTTCATTAGCGCATCTTTATAGAAAAGAAATCCCTTATTCTGGTAATCATTTCTCAATATACATGTATAGCAAATCATCACACTGTCCACCTTAAGCTTACCCAATGTTATATGTCAATTATATCAGAATACAGCTAGGGGGAAAAATGCAACCGAGGCCCCAAACCCAAAATTAAATACATATTATTTTAACAATAGATAGGTTGAAGTTTTAATTCATGAGAAAATTTAAGTTTTTTTTTCAACCACTAAAGAGATTTTAATTTCACTTTAGTAATAGTATGGGAGAAACAAGAAACACCTTTGCGGAAAGCCTCTGGATAACAATGTCTACTACAGTATTAAGAGGTAAGGTATTTCTACGTAGCCAATTGGGGTCAGGAAGATGAGATTCCCACTGCCTTCAAATTATTTCCTATAATGAGGGGTGGATAGGAAACTGAGTAGAGATGTGGGAGACACTTCCTCATTGTAAAGTATTTGAAGAGGTTGAAAGGCAAGCTCTGTTTTCTCTAGACTATAAAATGTCTCAGCATCTTGATGACTCTTAATCTTTTCCCTGTAGTTAATAAGGTAACTCAATCATGTCCTATTTTGTTCTCAGCCAATTTTGGACGAAGCCTCTCCTACTAAACTCGAGACTTCAGGGCACAAGTAAGTGTCTAGAAATTTTTTTAAAATATGAGACATAACCATAATTAAAATATGACAGTTCATTATTAAGAAGAGAGATCCATAACCTTGGTCCTTTCTTTCCTGGAAGCATTCTTAAAACTGGCATGTTTAAACCTCTTCAAACAAGTTGTAAAGGGAGAGTTAGGATACCATCCATTTCTGTTTGGTATTGGAAGAAAAGAAAAAGATCCTGGATGTGCTTGAAGGGGTTTTGTTGATTTGTTTGTTTTCTCCTCAAAATGATCACAAATCCCTCTTGAGTGTCCTATTTTCTAGTCAAGGTTAGTGTTTTTGAATAATAAAAGTGAAGAAACTTCAGGTCTAGCATTACTTTCATATTCATGACCCAGAAATTCATATGTAAAAGAAAACGATTGTGAATACGGCTTGGCTTATCCAGACAATTTCCTCCTCCTGCTTTCTTCTGAATTGGGGCTCTCAGGTCATTATGATTCAAAATCCAGGAAGTGGAAAAAAGAGAAGCTCTGGAGGCTAAGCTGATCTACACAATAAAGAGTTGGAGAAAATTGGGAAAGGAAAGAAAACCTTTGGAGAGTCGATGAAAAGGGTGATGTAGGGTCCAGTGCCCATCCACCCTACATCTGTTACCTGCTTAGGTAACTATTTCTGTCCTCTCTCAACTGAGTCTTGCTCTGAAGGATGTTCCTTCAAATCAAGTATACAGTAATGTTTTTCTAAAGTGAAATGAAATTCACAAGTCACATCCAAACTCGTGTTTAACCCTAACTTCTAGCAAGTGCTGCTATAAAAAAGGCTGACAATTCAGTTTAACTCCCTGCAAAATACCTCTCACACTCTCTAGAGGAGATGTTAACATTACCAAGAAGCAATCAGCTAAAGAGAGAAGACTTCAAGGAATGTTTATGGTCAAAAAATAATTCAGAAAGTAGAAAGTTTGGCACACACAGAGCGCTGAGAGTTCAAATGAAGGAAAGATGGTAATCATTTTCCCAGTTCACCAGAAGCTGGAAGAAAAAATAAATCCTGGAAAACAGTAACCAGGATACAGATGGCAGACAACACTGGGTATTTACCCCAAAGATACAGATGTAGTGAAAAGAAGGGCCATATGCACCCCAATATTCATAGAAGCAATGTCCACAATAGCCAAACTATGGAAGGAGCCAACATGCCCTTCAACAGATGAATGAATAAAGAAGATGTGGTTCATATCTACAATGGAATATTACTCAGCCATCAGAAAGGACAAATACCCACCATTTGCATCGACACGGGTGGAACTGGAGGGAATTATGCTAAGTGAAATAAGTCAAGCAGAGAAAGACAATTTTCATATGGTTTCACTCATATGTGGAACATAGGAATAGCATGGAGGACATTAGGGGAAGGAAGGGGAAACTGAAGTGGGGGAATAAGAGGACAGACGAATCATGAGAGACTATGGACTCCGGGAAACAATCTGAGGGTTTCAGAGGGGAGGGAGTGGGGGGGTGGGGTACCCCGGTGATGGGTATTAAGGAGAGCATATGTTGTAATGAGCACTGGGTGTTATATGCCAATAATGAATCATGGAACACTACATCAAAAACTAGTGATGTACTGTATGGCGACTAACATAACACAATAAAAAAAATGAATTAAAAAAAAAGATGGCAGACAACATTTGCACCTTGGCCTTCCTTCTCTCCACAGACCAGGGCTACTCAAAATGCTCCACAAACCAGTGTAGGGAAACAAACTGTATGGGGCACCTGGGTGGCTCAGTCATTAAGCGTCTGCCTTTGGCTCAGGTCATGATCCCAGAGTCCTGGGATCAAGCCGCGCATCGGGCTCCCCGCCCTGCGGGAGGCTTGCTTCTCCCTCTGCCTCTCTCTCTCTCTCTCTCTCTCTCTCATAAATAAATAAATAAAATCTTAAAAACAAACAAACAAACTGTATATTACAGGTCTACAAATAAAGAAATACAGAAATTGAGTACAGGCACGTAGAAAATTTTATAGCAGTCTGGAATTGCCTGATCAGATTGATTTTTTTTTAATATTTTATTTATTTATTTGAAAGAGAAACACAGCGAGAGCGGGAACACAAGCAGGGGGAGTGGGAGAGGGAGAAGCAGACTTCCCGCTGAGCAGGGAGCCCGATGCGGGGCTCAATCCCAGGACCCTGGGATCATGACCTGAGCCGAAGGCAGACGCTCAACGACTGAGCCACCCAGGCGCCCCTGATTTTTATTTTTAAGATTTTATTTATTTATTTATTTATTTATTTGAGAGAGAGAGAGAGCGTGCTGAGAAGGGGAAGGGACAGCAGACTCCTCCCTGAGATTGTGAACTGAGCTGAAATCAAGAGTCAGACACTTAACCAACTGAGCCACCCAGGTGCCCCTGATCAGATTGATTTTCATCACATTTTTCTGGCAGTTCCTTTTTATTTTATTTTACCAAAAGCACCAGTCCAAAATGATTTGGGGGGAAGGATCCTTCACTGGGATCATTTGAGAAGCTCTGCCCTAGTCTCCACTGAGAGAAGGTTCAAAAGTATCAGGACTTACCTAATTTGATGGTAGGAGAGGCCCAACAGCTATCTGCCTTCATGGTCTTAGGAGCTTCCTCGGAACAGACTCTTCCTAAAAGTTGAGGAACTAGTTTAATGAACTTGATTCAGTAAGAATTGAGAAGAACCTTTGCCATAGAGGGGAGCAGCATTTTGAGAACATCTCAATGGTTGTCAATCAACTCTATTTCCATTTTTCTCCATGGGTATATAAGTCTGAGTCCTGGAGAGAGACAAGGCTGCAAGAAATGATTTGTCCTAAATGTAGTGACGCATCAGGCTTCCCACTAACAAGGAGCACTAACTAGAGACTCCCTCTTAATACAGATAAAACAAGGAAGAGGCATTGCATTCCTCACTGCAGACCTGTTTGCTCAGTTTGCTCATAGGAACTGCCCAGTTTAAATAGGCGGTGGAGGGTGTGCCTGGCTGGCTCAGTCAGTAGAGCAAGACTCCTGATCTTGGGGTCATGAGTTTTGAGCCCCGCCTTGGGCACAGAGATTACCTTTAAAAACAAACAAATTGGGCGCCTGGGTGGCTCAGTTGTTAAGCGTCTGCCTTCGGCTCAGGTCATGATCCCAGGGTCCTGGGATCGAGCCCCACATCGGGCTCCCTGCTCGGCAGGAAGCCTGCTTCTCCCTCTCCCACTCCCCCTGCTTGTGTTCCTGCTCTTGCTATCTCTCTCTCTGTCAAATAATAAATAAAATCTTAAAAAAAAAAACAAGTAATTAATTAAAAATTAAAAACAAACAAGCGGGGTTCTCCCGCGACCCTCTCCCAGCCGAGCTCCTACCCGCCTCGTTTTTTCCGAAGGCGCTAGGCGGCGCCACCCTCCGGCCGGAGCTGGCACTGCACAATCCCCTCCGGCTTTCAATGTTCCACACTCCCTGGCCAGAGTCTCCTCGGCTTTTTTTTTCCCTCCCACCTCCCCGCTCCCCCCTCCCCGCCCCCAGCTGCCTCTATTTCCTTAAGAAAGGTTTTTTTTTCCTCTCTCCCTCCCCCACACCCTAGCGGCGCGCGAGCAGGCGGGGCGGGCGGCTGGGTTTTCCAAGAAATAACTTCACCAAGATGTCCAGTGATAGGCAAAAGTCCGATGATGAGAGCCCCGGCACCAGCAGTGGTAGTTCAGATGCGGACCAGCGAGACCCAGCCACTCCGGAGCCTGAAGAACAGGAAGAAAGAAAACCTTCTGCCACCAGCAGAAGAAAAACACCAAACTCAAGCAAAACCACTGCTAATTTATCCACTAGCGCTAAAAGAATTCAGAAGGAGCTAGCTGAAATAACTCTTGATCCTCCTCCTGACTGCAGTGCTGGGCCTAAAGGAGATAACATTTATGAATGGAGATCCAGTATACTTGGTCCACCAGGTTCTGTATATGAAGGTGGTGTGTTTTTTCTGGATATTACTTTTTCATCTGATTATCCATTTAAGCCACCAAAGGTTACTTTCCACACCAGAATCTGTCACTGCAACATCAACAGTCAGGGAGTCTTCTGTCTGGACATCTTTAAAGACAACTGGAGTCCTGCTTTGACTATTTCAAAGGTTTTGCTGTCGATTTGTTCTCTTTTGACGGATTGCAACCCTGCGGAGCCTCTGGTTGGAAGCATAGTCACTCAGTACTCAACAGAGCAGAACATGACAGGATAGCCAGACAGTGGACCAAGAGATACTCCACATAATTCACAGAATTTGTATGCATGTGAAGGAGCAGAAGGCCCCTTCTCACTGTGCTGCGAATCTTTATAGCCTTTACTGTACGGACTTCTGTGTGTATGTTATACTGATTCTACTCTCTGTTTGTATCCTTTGGAGACTGGGAGACTCCCCAAAAAGGTAAATGCTATCAAGAGTAGAACTTTGTAGCCGTAGATTAGTTATGTTTAAAACACCTACTTGCAGGTCTTGCTTCTTTAGGATATCAAAATGTATTTTCTTTTTAAATTTTATTTATTTATTTGACAGAGAGAGACAGCGAGAGAGGGAACACAAGCAGGCGGAGTGGGAAAGGGAGACGCAGGCTCCCCGCTGAGCAGGGAGCCCAATGTAGGGCTCCATCCCAGGACCCTGGGATCATGACCTGAGCCGAAGGCAGATGCTTAACCGACTGAGCCACCCAGGCGCCCCCAAAATGTATTTTGTGATGTACTAAGTATACTGGTCCTGAAGTCTACCAAATATTATAGTGCATTTTAGCCTAATTCATTATCTGTATGGTTATAAAAGTAGCCATAGATGACTAGGAATTATGTCATTTGTATTAAGCCCAGATCTATTTTTGAGTATGTGGTTCATGCTGTTGTGAAAAATGTTTTACCTTTTACTTTTGTCAGTTTGTAATGAGAGGATTTCCTTTTACCCTTTGTCGCTCAGGGAGCACCTGATGTATCATCTCAAACACATAAGGGTGCTCCTAAAGGCATTAGAACAAAAAAAAAAACAAACCAAAAACCAACCAAATAGGAGGTGGAGGACCTGGAGCTCCTGGATTCCATTGCTGCCTGCTGACCGCGGGTCGCAGCACTGGAAGAGGGTGTGGTGTTTGTAGAGCCCGGACAGCCCCCTGCAAGGTTAACGTGCAATTGAGAGCATGAGCAGGAAGGAGATCACTTAGCAGCCAGGGCAGCAGCCAGTGAAGTGAACTTGTTCATGCGAAATGAACGCCAGCAAAACCAAGGGTGGGTGCATGTGTGTGCAGGGGGAGAGTGCAGGCACAAATGTGTGTATGAGGTGTGGAGCCGGCTGCAGAGCTTGCAGTCGCAAGGGAGCGCAAAACCCCTGAAAACCTGAGCTATCACTGTTAAGACATGGAGCGGGTGGGTGGAAGAGAAGCCCCATAAAGGCGCCTGAGAAGGAGCAAAGGACTCATCAGAAAAATAAGGGAAAGGACAAGAGAGTGGTGGTGTGGGCAGTTCAGGTGGTTAAGTGCCCAACTCTTGATTTCAGCTGAGGTCTTGATCTCAGCGTCGTGAACCCCACATTGGGCTCCATGCTAGGCATGGAGACTACTAAAAAAAAAAAAAAATTGTTCCTGCAGGCAGTGGGGGGCAGTGCCCAAAAGGTGCCCTCTCAGCCTTCAGCCCCTGCCCATTGAACTTTGATCAGGACTTCTAGCCCAGCGCTGTGCTGTAGAACCCTCAGCAGGGATGGACATGCCCTAGACTGTGCTGTCCAATGAGAGCCACCAGCTACGAGGGGCCGTTGAGCCCTTGCAATGTGGCTAGGGTAACTAAGGAGAGTGGATTTCTAATTTGATTTAAGGTTAATTTAAATAGCGGCAGATGAGTAGTGGCTCCTATTGGCTAGTGCAGGTTTAGACTAATAATCTCTTGCATCCATCCCACCTGTGTTCCCCCAGTATGCCCACACTGAGCTGCCTGGGGCCTCAGAAAGGAGGGGGTCTCGGCCGAAGAGTGAGAGGTGTAGAGGAGAAAGCCCGGTGGACACCCAAGCCCAGAACCAGCCTGACTCAGCCTGCACCAGCCCAGGCTCGACAGCACAAGCTCCATGGGGTGGGTTTCCAACTGCCCATCCACCTGAAGGCCCTCGGGCAAGACCATGTTCTGAGCCTGGAGCTTACTCAGTGGACAGCTTCTGGGCCCCTGCTTGAGACCCAATCCCGCCCCTCACAGAAGGAAAAAAAAGAGAGGACGACTGGGTGGCTCAATCGGTTAAGCGTCTGCCTTCGGCTCAGGTCATGATCCCAGGGTCCTGGGATCGAGCCCCGCATCGGGCTCCTTGCTCAATGGGAAGCCTGCTTCTCTCTCTCCCACTCCCCCTGCTTGTGTTCCCTCTCTCGCTGTCTCTCTCTGTCAAAAAATAAATAAAATCTTTAAAAAAAAAAAAAAGCCCCACTATAATATCTGAGTGGCAAATAAGAAATAAGGAAGTAGAAACACTAA